GCACAGGAAAAGCAATTAAGTAGATTGGAATCGGCAAAGGCGTCTGTTTTGAGCCGGCTCGCGTTCGAAGAATACGAGGAGATCAATCATTCCATGGAAGGAAACTGGAAGATCTTCTTGGAAAATATCTTGCTTGAACATTGGCCTTCGGTATGTGAGATACTCGTTTTCTTTAGAATCTTGCTTTCGAGAAAAATCGAAGCCTCAACTAGAAACTTCGTGAATTTATTTGAATTTCAGGTAAGCTTGGATTCGAGCTTGGATATTATTTGTTAATAGAAATCGAACAAACTGGAATGAGTCGAATTCTGCAATAGTTAAATTTTGTTCCTCAAATTTATTCTTTTCTAAGTTAATTTAAAGTTAATACTAGTTTATTATTTATATAACAGATATTGTCAACTTACATTCAGTACCTTCTTACGAATAGACCATTTTGAAGCCTGGTTCCCGAGGTAAATGAATTCAAAAGTTTGTCTGGCTTTACGCCGTAGTATCTACTTTAAGTAGAGACGGTACGTAATATCCGGACGCGTCAGCAAGATCCTATTCAAAAGCACGCGCCTCGGATGAAACTTCAAAACCGTTTACTTCGGAAATGAAATTTCATGTAACAGTAGTTTATTTATAGAATATTCTGCGTTTGTGATTTATTTTTTCATGTAGAATCACTTCTATCAGTGGAACACTTAATCACATAATATAGTATCATATAATTTCGAATTTCAAAATCTATTTGTAAAGATCTAACAATTACATTAATATTGACAATTACTTATGACGTTCTCTTTTTATGTACACTGGTTTACAAACGTATTTAGAATCGATATATCGAAATTTTAAAATATCTACTATCTGGTGAGTATAATAATTCTATTATATACTCCTTGCTCTATCATTCCTCTTTTAACTCTGATCGATGCGACTACTTTGTCATTAATAATTTGTTGGAAAGTAGAAAAATTTTAGGCATATTCTATGTCTATGTTTACTTCTATGTATAATAATTGATTACAGAAAAATAAGACATAAAAGAAACTGTTCCGTAAAACTCCACGAAACGAAATGCTAAGATATATTCTTAACTTTCGTTAGATTTTGTAATTTTCAAAACAAATAAATAACAAATGAAAACTATAATTTTGGAAAATGTACGACCGTTAGTGGTAACTATACTGTACCACCTAATATTTTCTATAGTATAAACAAAAATATTATAAAATTTTGACACTTACTATATCATTATATATGTATACAGTCCAAAAAAGATCTTAAAAAATAAAAACTGAAAATTTTACCTCGAAGGAGTTAAAAGCAAATAAATTCGCAAAATAACGTAGTCTATTCGTAACACGATCAAAATGTTATACACTCGCTTCAAAACTCTTTCGTATTGGTTCGATCAGCGGAAGAAGGATTGAAGGAAGACGCGAAACTGAACGACAGAGGAAAGGTCGTTCGGTGTATTACGATGAAACCAGCTGGTACGAGGCGTCGTTAAGGTAACGTGCTTTGTCGCCCGAATCGACTGCTCGTTAAAAGAGCTTCACTCGTAAACCGGGTTACGCCGATCCGCGGCGGACTATTGGTGAAATTTATGCGGTGCACTCGATTCTGTTGCACCGCTTTGACAGTCGGTTACCTTCGATCGTGAAATAGCGCGGATTGTCAATAACACGGCCCTGCCCGAACGTGTTCGCGAAGAATTGTGCTGGCAACGGGACTGTTTCGACGGCGAACAAATTGTTTTCGGATACGTGCGACGAACACGGAAAGAACGTCGCGATGATTGGTGACCTGCTCGACTCCATCTTTCCAATGGATTCTCGTTAATAATTCGATATAATTAAACTTCTGAATGCCAAGGGACGATATATTTCTTCTTCATGCATTTGCGAAAAGTTTATTTTTGGTTTTATTAGTAATAAAGGACGTCTACCATATTTCCAATACTTTGTATAAATTTGATGAACTTTAGATCAAAATTGACCGAAATATAAATGTTTGTTTATAACTATGATCTTCTAGAATTACGGACACTTACTGTACAGTTGGTTCTATCGTTCTTAGAAAAATTGATATTTATTTATTTACGTCTTGGAAATTGGAGGTTTTACTTATTTGCATCATTAAGCGGAATAATCCGCATACAGTAACTGTTGCTTATCATTAAGAGCAAAATATTCCGCAATTACTTCTAGCTACTCGGTTATATCGGTTGAAGCAGATTAATTCAGTTGAGCATCCCCGATTTATAGAGTAAGCTTCCCATTTAGAGCGAAGATGCAAATGGAGTAACCAGTTAACTGAGTTTGACGGGTATACATGTCATTTTAAAGCTTGAAATGATACTAATTCTTTCCGCAATGAATTCTTTACTTTTCCAGATGAGCATGTAATTTTTTTTTGTTTTACTTTGGGTTTTCATTAAAATATTAATATATTTGTTGTTTTTATTGCGTGCAAAACGAGAGATTGATAGTAGGCAACTGGCATACATGTTTGCGTAACTGCACCAATCAAAATCGATCCAAACATTTATCAAATAATGTTTATAAAATTCAATATGAGTCAAATTGCCTCGTTCCGTAAATCTAATGTTAAATGTCTTCCGAATAATGGGACATTTTTACTTCTTTATTCGCGAGAAATCCGATTATCCGCAATTCAGCACCGTAAACAATTTGCTAAAGTTTAACGAGGTTTTTCTTTCATTTGAACCTTAATGGAATTCTTAACTTCTTTAAACTTGGCGTACATTGTAATGTACATTACTTTTACCGGCTTGAAGAAATGCTGGGCTCAAATCACCCGACATCTTGAACTTAACTTCTTACATCACGATTTCTCTCGCAGTCGCACCCGTGAAAGCGACTCCGTAATTAATAATTTGTTAGGGGAAAAATGAAATTCTGTGTACATTTTGAATTAGCGTTTATTCTGAACGTTTAACGCTAGGTAACCAGTATTTGTTCTTGCATTAAGAAAAACAGATTATATTTTGACTTATGGAATTTCTACTCAAGCGCTTACTAGGAATCTGATTCAATATCAATGTATCCACCTGGGTTAATCTAAATTTCGTTTGTAAATTGCTAAAGAGAAGAACGAAATATTTTTAATGGTACCAAATTGAATTCACATCTGATGATCTGTTAATAAACTATGTAGGTAGTGCATAACTACAATTTCCATCGAAATCTTTATTGGCATGAATATCAGCAGTCTAGTAAGAAACTATTAACTTTAGTTATGACTAAAGTTTGGCTTTACTTCAATTTCATGTCAAGATTGAGATAGTTGAAGTATTCGTAACTATTCGTGGTTGCGTTACCCTTATCGACCTATTTTCTTTATGCTATCAAATACATCAAGAGGCAATTCAATTTTAAAGTATTTTAATTTTTAGTAAATTTATTATTACTTTGTCATATCCAGTAACACATGTATTTAACATAAAAGTTCTAAATTAGATTCCTTGATAGAAGATCAGAAAACTATCAGTAAAATTATATTGAAAAATAAATGTCTTTAAAGTGAAGTTTGTAACTAAAGTTCAGATTATAAAATTGGAACTTTAAGTAAAAATGAATATCCGATTAACACTTCAATAGAAAGAAAGTACGTCAGTAAAGGGAGAAATATTTTATATATCTTTTATATACTCCAATAAAAGTACTAATTATTATAAAATACTTTATACGTCTCCCTTCTCACACTTTCACTGTAATATATTATAATACTTTTATTATTTATAAAAGTCAATTACCGTTTTACTAATTCATAAGCAATCGAAAATAATAAATATAAAGCATATTGAATTGTGCTGATTAAAGGAATCTTTAATTTAATTTTAATTTCATAAAAAGTATTATTAACTTAGTTTAAATACCATGTCAGACTCGTAGCGAAGATTTCAAATGGAATTTATGTATATGTGCTTCTCGCATTACGATTTGTAATCACAGATTTCCATTTATCCCAGCCTTTAGTTCACTATTTGTTGCATATGGTCTAAAGTAGACGGTATGTTTAGGGTAGGCTAATTAAGGAATTTACAGTGTGAGTTTCAGTTAACGGAATGCTGAATGGATTCGCGAATCGATAGGAATGTCGGGCTGACTGTCTCTATTACGCTACTTCATCGGTGCTTTTGATTTCCACACCGGGCTTTCATTGGGGAAGGAAACGGATGGGTATCAAAACATACGACTATACGGCGAATTCGCTGTTCAAATCGCCTTCTCCAATCTATTAATTGAATTTCTTAGTAGGAACAAGATTGAGAACGGAGAACAGATCGAGGTGAACGATCGTCGTTAATTTAGTTACCAATGGAAGCTACGCAAAAGATAAACAATTTGAGGAAGTATCGATAGAACCGGCGTTTTCTTTTAATTAGCACGGGGATCTTATAATCTATGAGCTCAGTAATTGCTTGCTACTTTTAACTTTCGGCGTGTACTAATGTTCGCAGATTCCTTCGAAAAACCTTGTGTCTATGTTTCAGTGAAAGACTTATCGCGAAGCATTTTTCTTGGGTTTATTAGGATTGAAATGTAATCCTTATAAAAAAAGTACATTGTCTTTTCACATCTATAAAATTGCAAAATAACATTTTTCTGCGATGAACTATTTTCGACAAATTTTTTACTGCAATTTTATAGATGTGAAATAACAATGTACTTTTGGTTTAAATATTTTTTCGCTATCTCTCATTGTTCTCAAAATAATCCACGGAAAAGATTCATTTGTATTTTTTTCAAAAGGTGGTTTCACCACTTTAAAGTGAAATTCAACACAAAAATTGCAATTATTAGACTTAACTTACTCTAGTTACACACAAAATTTCATAATTTTTGGAATTTCCGGGTTCGGTAACTTCTATTATAAGAAAAAATTGCTTGGATGGTATGAATAATTTGTCCAGTATCGATTGGGCGGTCAACGCGTTAATGAGCAATTTGCCATCGCAACGAATAATTATAGAACGTACGTACGGCGTTAATGTAGTTGTACAGAGACAGACCGTCGTCCCATGGCTCCTCCTTCTCGCAGGACAAATTAGCGGGCCGCAGGTCGTGGCTGCGATCCAACTCTGCCAAACCGTGCGCGAAAACCTGCACGCTGTCGTACACCAAAGCTGGTTCTGCCTGAAACATACGTTTCCCTTCCTGTGAAAAGCTTTTTGGCCATTCGTGATCGCAGTACTTCTTCGCGGACGTTTCTTATAATGGTGGATTGTATGCGCCATTTAAGATCGATCTGGAGCTTCGGTAAATCGTTATAAAAGTATATGACTCGGTAATTTATGACGTCGTAAAGGCATCTGATTCCAAGGAAGGACGGATAGAACAAAAGCAAACTTAATCCCGTTACGAGTTCCACTGGCGTAGACCGAGCGAATAAACGTGTAATTTATTAAAGACCGAATGCCGGGAGTCCTTGAGCAAGCAACTTCGAAAGAACAATAAAATGGCAGCGAGGGAAATGCATTTGAAAAATGATGATGATTCCCGGTTTTGAAGGGAGGAAATTACTGATCGAATCTCCAATCGGTCGTTAGAAAATCTATTAATACTTTCGTAATGGAGAAATTACGGTCTGCGTTTATCGAGTCTTTTAAATTACCCTCGCAGAAGTACTTATCGAAGTGATACGCAACGATTTTAATAAAGTTCTCGTAGAAACGTGTTCTCATAAAAATATTTGATGCATTCTGATATGTATCCTGTTTTATTTGTTTTCAGTTCATTTATTTTGATGAGATGGAAATATTCCTTGTTAAGATTTGATAAACGTATTTTATATATACTCTATACTGAAAGTTCATAAAAATTGATGAAGATCAATTTTGTACATTTTGTTATTCAAATGAGTATTCGAAAGTCTTGAATTGTATTTCTAGTTTGTACAGTCCACGTTCCAAATGTCAGTGAACTTTATTAGGTGCAACTCATTAAAGCAGAAGTTTATAGTCAAACGGAAACTAAACTCTTGTTTCATAATAATTACTTCTCGGAAACCCATCCCTGTGCTGAACTGAAACCAGAAATTCTCAAACACGCTCTATGGTTAAAAGTTCAAAATTACTCACCGATTATTAATAAAATTATATTACAGATTTTTTGGTAGCTTGATCACATTTCTCAAAAATGTTACTAGAGTTTTCATTTGTTACCTCGGGAACTAATATAATTAATTATAGTTATTTAGGTGTGTAATTTAAGAAATATAATTATATTCTGTATTAATTTACAAATCAAATGTTACAAGTTATTAATCATTTGTATATCGAAAAATATGCGAACTAATATTAAAACAAAGGAACGTGTAAAATATTAAAATAATATAATAATCTGGTTAAAATTTCTAAGATTTACCAAATTTTCCAGTCTTGCACTCAAAACTTGTTCTAAAAGACCTTACCAGATAAATGTTAACGTTTCTCTATTATTCTTCCAACCAATAAAATTAAACGTTATCTTGAAAAATACAGTAATAATCTAATAATAAAAGTTATTAATAAAATAAAAAAAACTGTATTTCTTTCAATATATATGTTTCAAACATTTAAACTTCTCTAATAACTTTAAGCTTCGGTTTTCGACTCAGTACGCACTTGTTCGATAAATTTTCTGGAAATATCCTTGTCGCAAGTCTTGCATTTGCTGCAGAGTTCACGCAATCGTTCATGGAAACGCAGAAAATTGTTTTCTGTACCGGCGGCGACCGTGGAAACGAGTTTCGGGACGTTTCGCGTTTCCCGATAACCGCGATTTCCGGGCCAGGCATACCTAAGAGTTACTTGAACTTTCCACCAACCTGGATAACTCCGGTTTTGTTGAGGATCGCGGGGCCAATCGGCTGGAAGCGTTCCATCTGCCGGAGAACTTCGGCCACCTTTGGCTCCTCGAGGTCCACCAAACGGAACGCAGTCATATTCACGCTATTGTACTTAAAATCCTCGAGGTCGAATGTTTCGATGTCCTGGAAGCAGAAATTTTTCCCCCTCATTCCGATGAAAAGGCCAGAATAGCTGCGGCGTTCGAAATTCAAAACCGGTTTACGTGCCGTGAAGCATGCCGTTCAGTACACACGAGCGAGTTAAAATTTCGTCAAACAGAATATTTCACATATTAATGTCCACTCGGACGTGAATCACGTTATTTCCCGACCTATAGAATATCTGTTACTCGATAACTGAAGCATTTCACTTTGTGGCGTTCGAAATGTTCTGCTTCAACGAAATATTATATGATACCATGTAAATGTACACATATTTTATTTATTAATATATGTATGCTGGTAATATAAACTCAATTCGATAAGTGATACCAGTATAAACTACGTTCCATCATGAACTTATGACAATTATAAGAAAATTAAATTTTGAGTAAAATATGAAGTTAGTCCTTTTTATTGAATTTATTAATTTATTTTTGCACATTTACACATAGTATAGATTTTTCCAATGCACTATGCGTACTGGTGAATGACTCTTGAATAGACGTAAATGTCGAAATGGATCAATGGACTCTTCTGGTCTTTCAACCCCTTTCCATACAATATCGTGTCAAATTCAACAAACACAAATGTCACTCAATTCTCTTGAGTATAAATTAAATAATAATTTTCTTATTATCAATCGTTAAGTTTTAAAATAAACGTAGATATAGGTACTTAGATTAACGTAACATTCTTCGCTTCTAGTAAATTACTATTAAGATCGTAATTATGCTATATTATTATAAGTAATACATTTACCTCTAGTAAGTTATTAATAACAAGATAATTACGCTATAATATTATTACAAGTATTATCATTTACTTCTAGTGAATTACTAATAACAAACTTAATAACAAAGTAGCAAGCCGAGTTGAGAAAGAAATCATAGGGTAAAGGGTTAAGGGTTAACTGCCCATGTCCATAGCATTGTAACCTCTTATATACTAGCGAGTCAGACATGATTTATAATTAGTTCGGGATGATGCACCGCTGGTAGGGGATCGTTAAAGTAAATAACGTGGATTTCAACAGGGTCAGCGAGTCGCACAGCTGCGTCGTGGAATGAGGAGGACAGATAATGCCAGCTTCCGCCTCGTGGCAGCTACCCTCTATCAGCGGCGTCCTCTATCCGCTCTTTTTGGGTCCTCTTTTCCTGTCCCAACCGCATTATTTCCTTCTCGAATTGTGATATCATCACAGGAAGTCCCGGAAAGTGATTTATTCTGGCTATGTTAGTTATGTTTATGCGCAGCGTGTCGAAATCGGCCACGGTGAACGCAGCCGGTGAAACGAACATCGAGCAGCGTATATTTTCGGACAAAATAAAGTAGTTTCCAGTGTTTATTCTTAACGTGAAAACTGTTGTCTCGAATTCGGAGCTAAAGAAGGGTTATTCAAGTAATTTGAGTCTTGGTATTTCAGTCAACGTGAATTTAAAATTTACTGCCGTTACGTCGAATGTTATTACGCGAGATTTGTTTTAGGAATCACCTTGTGTAACACCTTGAAAATTAAATGAAATTTTTAGACTTTTTTGAAAATATTACCAAAACAATTCGTTCGAAATGTTTAGGACACTCTTTGTGATAGGGAAATATAATAAAAAAAGTTATAGAATCAGAGAACTTTTACTAAATATTATTTAAATTAAAATATATTATTTAAATTAAAATAAAATTAAAATAATATTTTTTTAAACTAAAATAATATTGTTGCGGTGCATTGTAGTTGAAATTATCAATTAGCATGCAATGCGGCGCAGTTTATATTCATTCGAAACTGAGTATTGAAAACAATGTTGTTTTTCATGAGTTTATGCATCAGTTGAACGTTTTTTTAGGGGGAGATAATGAGAAATTGTAACAATTGCGGTAATTAGTTTTACATAAAAGTAATTTCGGGAAACAATACCATTGTAAATAAAGATTTGATTTCTGGATAGAATATGTGAATGAATATATATTACGCGACAAAAAATATATGAGATTAAAAAATAATCGGATAACGTTACTATCGTAATAAATTACGATAGATTCCGGCAATTCTAATTTTCAGAAACTGAACCATGAATTCTGAAGAGAATATCAATTTCTTTAGTTATCACGAAATTGAATAAATAATTTACCCAACGACATAGAATTCTTCTGCACATTTTTTTGCATTGTACTTTGCATAAATGCATAAATTTCACAGTATAATGTTGGACAACGGACCTGCATTTCAATATCAGCATTACGCATTCTTTTATTTTAGATTGCGACACTGAGGGGACGTGAGCGTTTTATGTAGCAGGTAGCACGGTTCATGTGGAATGAATGTATGTACAAGAAAGCCAATTTAAATCTATAAATGCAAAGACTATATCTGGGTAATTTCGTTAACCTGGAGAACCTGTACTTAAACAATTAAAATGAGTGAATGGAACATCAGAAAATTGAAGATGAAATTTTCTGTGCAAATTATCACAGTGTATTTCGCTATATTTCATTGGTAAAAGCGTCTTTTATTTAAAACAAGACTTGTTGTTTCATGGAGAACGTAATAATTTTATAACATTTTCAATGAAGTATGTTATTGAAATAATATTTTCTGCTGTTACATTGTTTCCTATTTGTTCTTTTTGCTTGTGTAAAATTGCATTTAATATTTGAACGTATAGTTAATATTGTACATCTTTATTCCAAACTAAACACTCCATTTATTATACAAACGCAATAACGTTATATTGGAGTACGTTATAAATAATTATAATGCGAAAACAAAATCCTTTTAAAATCCAGCTGGATATTGAAAATCATGGAAACATCATTTCGCAAGCAGCAACCTAATAAATTATGCTACCTTGAATATACGTATTCATCCGTAAGCCATTGAAACATTCCCTGACGCTCAGATGCATCCATTTGCATCACTTTTAAGATCAATATTGAAATTATTTGAAATTAACTGAGTAATTCTATATATATATATATATATATTATTACTTTAATGTAGTATTACTTTACAATTAAGAAACCAATGGGAATATTAATTAACCTTATAATATTAATAAGACATTAATATTCCCATTGATTTCTTAATTTGAATAACAAGCGCAGTTAATAATTAATAATTAATTTTTTTTGACTCATACAGTAATCCATACTAATGTGTTAAGAGGAAAAAATTATAAAATCATTTTTTCTATTGATCACAATATTATGTATAATATAATATATAATATATATAATTATATATAAAGTTATATAACAGAATCATATGAATTAGCATTACTTTCGTTATTGTTGATTAACCTCTTGCGTTAAAAATTAATTCCGAGACTTTGCTTTTACCTATTTCACGGAAATGTGTACAGTAGTTTTGTTTATTAATCATATTCTATAATGATACACTTCAAAACAACCTAATAGTATGTATAATGCAACAAGACTATCGATGTGTATAAGACGTCACTGGTAATTTTGGAACATATATATGACGTGCGTGGTACATATTTTTAGCGCAAAAAGTTAAAAAATGTCGCAGTGTATTCAAGTAACATGTAAGTATAGTACTCTAATATCATACTTACATTGTCGGTCAAAATTTTGAGGCCCATGTATCGATTAAAAGAAAAACAACTTTTATTGGAGAATTTTTGTATATAATAAAGGAATTTAATTATATAATCTCGACCAGTGTGCGACAGTGTCTCCATTCGTATCGCGTAATTCACGGAGCAGATTATGTTGAAACATCACGGGAAATTCCTCGTGGTCGCGTCTCCGCAGACAAACACCTCCAAGTTAATTTCTGTCGATTCGTATGCGGAACTGAACGCAAGAAACTCGCTCTCGTCATTTTCTGCGTTACCGCGTTCCGTGAATCCTCGACACTATGCACGATTCCAGGTCGGAGTATTATCTCGCGGAATTAACGTCAACAAGGTTACTCGTTGAATTATCTTATTTAAAAATTCCTTGGAATTACCCTTGGTTGCTAGCTGTGTTCCTATCTTACTGTGCAATTGCATTTTTCATTTGTTATTTTAATATTAGAATAGGTCAACATGATTTTAAATTTCCTCTTTCCTTAAATCGATTGAAATTTTAATAAATGTACTTTTATCATTTGTGTAAGAAAATTGTAAAAAATCGATTTCACGGCTTAATACTTTTCTTGTCAAAATTACTTATTATAAGCTATGTTTTTTTATATGAATATGTATTAGTTTATACATAATAATTATTGCTGTATACCATATTTATTACTTAAAAACAATTATGTTGATAATTTAAACTAAGATGACTATAAAGATAATAAATAAATACGTGTTGGGCATTTTTCTGAACTATTTTAAACAAATGGATAATTTTAGTAAACTTAGTTGAGTAGTTCGACATGCTTTCTGTAATAAATACACGAAAACCTACTTAAAAAATTACGTTAAAAATAATTGAAAGTAGAGATATCAATTAAATTAATTAAATTTCTGTAAAATATAGTACAACCAAGGGAGATTTAAACAATTTAGCAGTAAGCCGCATCGTTGATTGGAATTTAATTATTTCTAGAGAGATTTTGTACATTTGTGGTATTCGTGGAATTTGAAATTTTGAAAAATACAACGTTCTCTGTAATTGGTGGTACAACCGAGGAAACGATGATCTATTTAAAAAAAAAAATTGCTCGGAATTATAGAAAATAATTTTTATTTCTTGTGTTGTTTTCAAGGACGTTGGTGTTAAAAATTCACCCACTACACATGCACTTGGTTAATTTCCTGAATACGCGTAGTGCAATATAAAGCATGTTGCTCCACAAGACAGAAAATATTAAAAAATATACAATAAAATTTTTCTATTCGCAGTTTTGTTATAAAAAGAGAAACAAGTTCGAGCATGTTCCGAATGGTACTAATGAGGTATGTTCGAAAACATTTCAAATTGGACATTTCCAGCGATCTAGTTACAAACGAAAAAATTGTATTCTACAGTTTTCATTTGTTTTTTCATGTATCCATTAAACACGCTCTAATTGAACGTACCATCAGCACTAGCAATTATAGGATATTCTGTACAAAAACTATACGAAATTTTTTTCACAATAAAAGCGATCCTAAAAAATTCCTATAAAACGGAAAAAAATTTGCCAAAATCAAAATACCTAGCGTTGTTTGGGAGATGAATGGCATAAGAGAAACAAAGGTCTCTCGCCAAATGTTGTGTTTATGATTTTAATTAGTTATATGTACCGTATTGACGAATAACAAATTAATATCGAAAATGAAACGAGAAAAAATGGAAGTTAACCAATTAGACCAGCATTTCTTTCAGGACTCATCACCTGAACAGTACATATTCCTCATAAAATAAACCCAAACCTTAAATAAGGGTTAACGTTTGAAAACAAACCATCCTACACCAAAGTTTATCTTCGTCCTTAATTTTCTCAAGTTAAATATTTTATCACTCGAATGATTCTCAACTCGTGGATAGTAGAGCACATTCGACGCAGCAGCTGTCCGACTCGCACGTCCCCTAATCCAACGTGAATTTCCCGAAGGTCCGAAAAAACTTCTTGTTCGTCAAAAGAAGTCGTTACGAAGGAGCTGTTCAGATCAGGGGGTTTTGTTTACGCAGGATCGTGACTCGCGATTTCAACGGCGCGGATTAATCGGCGAACGTTCCTTTTGCAGGAATGGTTCCAAGTTGTCGGAGGTAGAAATTGTAATTCGTGGTCAGATTAAAAGGCAGCGGAGCAGCGTCAAAGCTTGATGGCAATGCGCCCGTTCCAACTTTCCAGGAACCGTATTAAAGCGAGCTTCATTAGCCATCCACCCAACGCGTCACCCGGAATTTCCATCGCTCTATTTCCAGGAACGAATACTTACGAATGTGGTGAACATGTAGTGGTATCTGTAATCGTTCATCTGTAGCTGGAGGATCTGAAACAAACGAGGAAAGGGTCCTGGTTACTTGGCCGGTTACCGTAGACTCGATGGAAATGCAGTGTTTTTCTTTAATTTTCCCTTGGTCGGGTCGTGAAATATGTCACGGAATTAGTAGGCTGAGAGGAATACTGAATCGTTTTTCTGGGAGAGATTGTAAAATCTTGTGACTTCATTGGATACGAAGATTTATGGATAGATTATGTATATTTATGTAAGTTTCTAGCATTGTACGGTAAATTGAACAAATAGAAATTAACACTAGAACTACCAGTCAAATTGTCTTTTTGAAATTTCTCTGTAGAAACTAAATAATGCAACAAGAGACTTGACAAGAGAAAGTGCTATTGAAATTTCAATTGATTTGTAAGGTAGTTTGTGTATTACTAAATAAATTTCTCTAGTAATTTCTCAATAATTAAAAAAAAGAAATCATGAATAGATCATTTCGATCTATCTTCTAGTTCTAGTGTTAAATGCGAATTTATTCTGATATGATGAGATTTTGTGATCATGCTGGTGTTAACATTTGTGACTGTAGTACTTTACAGAAGCGTACGCAAAGAACGAGAATATATTTAATGTACAATAAGAATGTGTATATTATTTGATATTTAATTACATTTCATTTCTACATGGATGTGTAAATTTAATAACTGGTATTCTAAATTATTCATATATAAATACTTGTGTAGACACGGTTTGTAATTATACTTATTGAAATTGTTTTATAGCGTTAAGGTACAGCGGTTTTGGTTCCTCACAAATTCTATGCATTATTAAAAATTCCCACCTATTATAATTTATTTATTAAAAATTTATAATTACTTCTTCTAAACTTTACGTCAGCAGAACAAGGGCGAGTTGCTACAAAGCATACCATAGACATCATTATTCACCTTCAACCTTCCAACTGCCGCGTTATAAATATATTACAAAAGAAATACAAAACTTCTCAGTGTCACCTTACGTTCTTTGTCTGAAATAACGTAAGGCAATATTTATGTCAACACGTAGAAAAATAAAAAAAGTTGGAAACTTCACTTAATTTTAATATCTTCATCTGTCGTTTGCGATAGGATGGCTAAACAGTTGCAATAAAGTCTCAAAAACGGATAAAGATCGTGTTCAGTGAAAAGAATGTCTATGGCAATCAAAAGGTTGAACATCATTCTATAAACTCTCACAATTACAGTAACTCTTCACTTATCCGAACTCATCGGAGGACAAGTTTGTTCGGATAATAGGAGCTCTCCAGCTATCCCTATTTCCTGATCGTATTTATTGTGATAAAAGTGCGTGATCCTTGGCGATCTTCAAATAACAGAGTTTGTTTGCTCTTAACAAATAGAACCTTGCCTCGAGAGTACGCTCGCCATAGTTCGAATAATAAGTGTTCAATTAGAAGTTCACAAGGTGTTAATTTTAACTATAGTACCTAAATTATTTCCGCTATTATTGGAAGTAAGAAAAAATTACTAAATAAGATGTACATGGTTTTAGTGCGTGCATCGGATGGCGATAAAAAATGATTGAAGTTCATCCTATTTAGTCATTTTTTCTTACTGTCAATAATAGCGCAAATAATTTAGGTGCCTGAGTTAAAATCAACACCCTGTATATGGGTATGGATATATAGATGAGTGGGTGTGCGTGTGTGTAAATAAATTTTTTGGAATATTCTAGATTATTGATTTTTTCAATATTAATGCTTACATACATGTCAAATGAATCTAGAATATTCCAAATGTATTTGAAATTCATGAATAGCGATGAATATTCCAGAAAGTGTGTGAGTGAGATGGATGTACTTATCGAATGTATCCAAATGTACTATATATTGCGCTTGCAAATTTATTTTCAGTTATTGTGTTTCTGAATGGTGTATTGTAAATAATTTATAATAGTTGTGCCATTTAAATATTGTTTATATCAATAAATTCTCTTTCTCCTGCATATATTGGTGGATCAGCATTTACGGGTCCGAATAAGTGAGGTTTTACTGTACTCCGAATATATTCAGATCGCCGGCGAGCGATGGCCGTACGGCGCCAAAGCTCTTTGCACGCGCTCTTGAGGGAGATTTTCTTAACCTGTTCGAAAGGAACACGGTTCTCACGTTTTTTGCGAAGAGTTTCCTCTTCAGAAATGTCTGCAGAATTCAATGCTGTATTGAAAATTCGTGCTAGCCAAACCATTTTTTCGTAAAAATGTAACAGAAGTGCGTACAAAGAACGCGCACCTACTCTTTTTTAATCTTTGATCATCATTTACAAGTATTTAATGACAAGAAGTATTCAAAATTTGTATGGTCACATATTCGGGCAACTCTTCTTTATTTTTTACGACAAACTTGAACTGTTTGTCGTTTGTAGTTTTCACGTAATACTTGTTTTACGACACTTGCCATACATCCGAATAGTTGTCTATTCATAACCTACGAAATTAAACAATAACGTTTCGTCGCGACCGATCGACAGACCCTTTTGAAAGTACCGGTGGCCGTCGCCTTACCCATCTCTAAATTAATTTGTTGAACGATCATCGGACCTCGCGATTCATTTTAACCAGTTAACTGCGTTTGACGAGTATACACTCCATTTTAGAACTAGAAATGGTACTAATCTTTTCAACGATAGTTATTTTCTCAAATACACATGTAATTCTTCTTCGTTTTGCTTTAGTTTCTCGTTAGAATATATTATTGGTACATTTGCACTGCGTTTAAGGAATATATACTTCATTGCTTGACTTTATTGAGTGCACAATGAGAGATTTTTTCAATTAAATTCCACAGTTAACTGGTTAAGACAATTAAAAGTACGCCCGGAAATAGTCCAAGGAACTCTATAAGGATTACCTAGTGGCTATTACAAAAGAAAAATTGTGTTGGACAATGACATCAGCTGACTCGGCGTGGTTCCATCATCCGCTATCCTAGTGCGTTGTTTCAAGCGCCGATCTATCATAGCATGTTCGGGGTACGGAAGCTAGCCGGTTGGAAAGGGACCTGCATGGATTTCCTCGAGAGGAGCACGGCCGAGGAATCAAGGAGCGAGGGACGGATAAGAAAAGTGGAACGCACAAAGGAAAAGGGGGATGTGGGAAGGGGACGGATGGTGGGATTGCGCGGGAGTCAAGACGTTTTTTGATTACTCAAGCAACGATGGGATATCCGCTAGAATCCCCGGGAGACGCGGCATGCAAATAACGGGTTTCCTTCGACCACGTCTGATCCCAGATTGCCTGGCACGCCGCGCGGGGATAGCTCGGGGATTCACCCTGAAACGTTTCGTCTAGCTAGATCTTGTCTAACTATCGACTTTCTGTGATAAAAAAGAATTGCGGGAGATTCAATTAAAACCGAGTAAAAAGAAGAAAGAGAGAAAAAACGGGATGCGCGATATCCTGCGAAAATTGGAACACCGTGATCCGAGGACCGGATATGAAAAGGATCTTCTATGTGTTATTGGATCGCTCGTACCTAATTCCACTGAATCCCTTTCGTCTCGACTGAAAGACTCCGTTCGAACGAACAGTTCTTCGTTTTAACATTTTATCGCAGTAGCTTGTCCATCGATGTCATTCCCGTTTCACGGGAGCGAAATTAATTTTCTCCAGGCGCGACGCGATCCCTCGTTGACGTCATTATACGGATCGGACACGGTAATGACTTAGTAGATTCGTAATTCGAAGAAAAATTTGGTCCGCAGTATTTCGAGAATTTGATCGAATTTGTTGATCAATGAAGATGATTTCAATGATTCATTGAAATCAAATGCAATGCAATTATTTTATGATATATTTTTTCTATGCAAGAATCAATAGACTTGTAAATCGTTTCTTGTTGGAATTATATTTTATAGTTGTTACTAAATTTTGTGGTTTCCCTCTTTTATTTAACATTTACAGGAATCATGGTTTTATCGTTTGCAACTGGGAAATATGTTTCACAACTGAAACTCCTGCGACTGCTTGTACTGTATGCATCAGACTGCAACGTTGCTACGTCGTTTTTCTGCATCAAAGGTTCGTTTTGCCAGGTAGTTCTAATAATGTACATCGTTGAAGGAGATGCCCAAGGGGAAAAATCCTTGTGGCTAGGAAAGTTAAGCCTTTGATCTTTTAACACCCGATTACCGCCATATATTTTTACGAGTACCACCTTCAGCAGTGAGTTGATCGCGTCCCGCCAGATGAAGATATAAAATGGGTGTCTCGACACTTGAGTGACTGCAGCCACAATATTCTGATAAAAGCAGAATAGCTAGCAATTAAAATTTTATTATCACTTAAAGTGTATATGAAACGAAAAGTAATGGAGACTCTAAAATAATATTGTAATGCTTTTTTACTTCAATAAAATGAATGAAAATAATTGTGAATTATAATCAATGTATAAATTAAAAACAAATTGCAACCCTCATTTATTCCTCATTTCCTCTACATAATTTACTGTTTAGGTTAAATTAACGTGTTCATTCTATAAATTAATATAATAATTATTAATAAATATTTTTGCATTGTTTCTTTGCAAAGAAGGATTTGGTTTAATACATTTTTCTCGTCTGAAAATATAATTTCCGTTTTATATACTTTGATTGAAGTGTGAGCTCACACTTTCCCAAGAATATGATCAAGTTTTTTGCTATATAATTAAGTACATAGCTATTGAAATGTTGCATTTGGGAGTGATAGTTGATAGGTTCTTTGAATACCTTCTTCCGGGATTCAAGAGAGAAATACCAAACTAGTGCCATTGATATCCGCGATCTTGAAATTCTTAAACCGATAACGCTTTTTAACCCTTTGCCATACGATTCTCCTAGTGATGACGAATGTCAAAGTAATTTTTTTTACTATTAATAATTTGTAAGAACGGACAAAAATTTTGTATTCATTATTAAATGCACATTTACTTTAAAGGTAAAACATTTTCAACAATAAAATAAATACGATTATCGTAGTAACATCTTTTGTGGTTAAAATTAAAGTTA